AATACAATCCAGATATGCTTTGAACTTCGGCGATAATGAATTGCTGGTTGGGAAGAAATGCTTAAGTGAAGAATTATCGGTAAATGCAAGCCTAAAACGTTCAATTTTAGTTTCGCCCTATTCGTACTGTTCGTTTTTTAGCTATAAAATGGCATTTTTATGCGAAAGAAATCAATTTCAGCCCGTTTTCTACTAACCACCGAACAGAGTATCATCCAAGAGCTATTCACAAAAGTACCAATACTCAGTTCACAGACACATATCCTTTCGCATACATTTTAGATCAATAAAACAGTAAAACGTCCGATATGTTTTACTAACATAAAAACTCCCAAAACCACTTGGGATTACCAGTGTGAAGCCCTCGGCATCCATAAAATGCGTCTAGGTGCATTATTTCGGAATTTTCCAATCGATCCTCCTTTTCATTTCAACATACCTTTCTAATTTAATGAAATTTTTTATTTTTGGCTACCTATATCATTTCTTTAGTTAATTCCCATGGACCTGAAAACCCCGTCATCGCTGCCCGGATGGAAATGCTTTAGCTGGCAATCAGCAGCTTAATATTAACTCTGTTGGCTCCATGCTCTTTCTTTTATTAAATCAAAAAATAGTAAACGTAAAGATTCGCCTTATCGTGGTCCCCAACACAGTCACTAGCATTTCCATTACACCACTCCTCTTAAGCGGTTATCACTTCTAGAAAGAGGTGATAGCAAAGCATATATTGAAAATAGCAATATTGAAAATAAAATAGCAATACTGAATCGTAATATTGAAAATAGCAAAGCAACATTATTCTCAGCCACCCAGTTTTCATTTTACGTTCAGATTCAGTAATGAATGGGGTCTTAGTGTGTTTTAGAAGTAAATCGTATGAGAATTCCCAAAGATACTGAATGCAGAGTACAGCAATACCCGGGCCGAGAAAAAGGTAATAGCTTGGCTATTTTAGATGAAATACGCTCCCCAAGGATGGAATAACTGCTCTTAAAAAAATGAAAAAAACAAAAATTGCTGGAAAACATACATTCGAAATATTAGGGCAGCTACAATATTCGATTCTTTTCTTTCGAGAACAACATTGTCCGAAGTTAGGCGAAATGTAGAAATAAGCCCCATAGCTCGTTGCCCGCATCCATTCACGTCTAATTTTCCCTCCAGTAAACGCCAGCTAGAAATACGGAAAATAGTAAAGCAAAATTATTCTCAATCGTCCAATCTTTTTACGTTCAGATTCAGCAATACGTAAATCGGTTCCACTGCAGAGAAGCTTTATTTCAAAAAAAAAAAAAAAAGAAAAAAGAAAATTCAA